AGCACTTTCTGTTGTACAAACAGTGACTTGTTTGGGGTCCTTCCCACAAACACACTTTATTCCCTCTGGTGTAGAGTCCCTGTTTCACTATATAATTGCAGCTGACAGCCTGGATTGGTAGCATCCAGCAAACATTCAGCAGCATCAGTCACAGGGTGATTGACGTGAATGCCGCACAGGGAGGCTCTTGCTCTGTGAAGGTTTTGGGTTGCAGCAGCATGATAAACAACTGGTGTTAGGGAAAGCATCCTAACATCCTGCATCTTAAATGGAGAGTAATTTCCCCCTTTTACAGGGAATTTATTGATCCTGAAGCATAGGAAGAGCAAGATGCGAGTGGACAAAATTGTGACTCAAGCACTCATTTTTTCTGCTGTTTGTTTCGCCCTGTGTTTTATTACTAACTAATGTTAAAACCTGTAGTCTTTACTGAGGTGGGACACCAGTGGTCTGAGCAGGACACTACAGCTGAGCCACCGTTAATCCAGACAGCATCAGGAGTCTGCATTGCACCAGCATCTTGCTTTACCTTGCGTTTGAATTATCCACTTGGGCGCACAGGACATACATAGCAGAAACTGCCATAAGCCTGATAGTTAATCTGGGACTGAAGGAAATGAATAGGAAATAAGGGTCGGGACCTTCTCGGGGCAATGGTGAAAACTCACCTAGTATTGCAAGTCCAGGCTTGCATGCCAGACTTCAAGACTGTTAATAAATTGGAGAGGGTTTTGTTCTACAGAGGAGCAAAAATAAGGGGTTTGGAAAGTATCTTTGCTGAAGGGAAGCTTTGTCTTGTCCCACTGGTGTGTGCTGGACCAGACTATATCAAGCAGCTTCTAGTGTCGCTTTCTTCAGCTTAGGTCCACTGACATCAGGGTAGGCATGTCTGTGCTTCCATCTGAGGCTCAGGCCCTCTTCTGCCTTTATCGTTTAGCAAAGGTTTTTCATATTTTTGGCAAACTGCCCTTAGAAAATGAATCTTTTCTGTACGGTCTTCCATGCAACTGAAATTGCTGGACTGGCACAGAAGTATTTGGGCTCATGCCAGCATCACAGGGTTATATAGCTCTAGGATCTGATGCAGCTAAAAATTTATCTGCAATTTTCTTGGCTTGCCATTAATGTAATGCTCTTTGCCTGCATTCCAAATTTCCAGAGTGCAGCAGATGCACCTATATAGAATTTCCCTGGAAAACAACAGCAAGGATATTGGAGAAGGTAGAAATTTTGTTAGAACTTTTGTGATGTATCTAGACTATGGGCTTCAGATTAGGGGTTAATAAAAAGTGTTGTTCAGTATTCCAGGAAATTGTCAAGATCACTAAGTATTGTACTGACTTGACCTGTGTTATATTGAACTCACTCTATTCCAATAAAAACATACAGCAGATTGTTCCAAAACCAGTGTCAAACTCAAGTTAAAAATAAATCCCCTCATAATTTAAGTGCATAGTATATATACTAAATATATCACCCAAAAATATATACCTCATAAGGAAAACTATCTAAAATATATCAACCCTGAAATCTCCCCTGCATCTTATGCAAAATCATGGTTTTCAGTTATGATTCCTAAAAGTTAAAATAATCCTTCCTCACTTGTAAGCCACCTAATCCTATTTGTTTTACTCTGTTTTTATTGCAACATGGAACCAGCTTTGTTTTGTTCAAGCCCAGGATTTGTAAATAACTAATTATAGCCCTGATTTTGCCCCTTGAAACATTACATTTGGCACCTCGGAGAACAGCCCCTTTTCAACTACCAGACAGTTCAGGGGAAGCGGTGGACGTGGTCTCAAAACAGTAGGGTACGGCTGACAAGCTCTCTTGGACCACTTCACCTCCTGCTCTTGAAACTGCAATCAGATGAGCCAGAGGGCGACTTTAGGAAAATATTTTTCTCTAGTAGCAGTAACATCTGTCTCCTTGGCAGCCTCCGCTGGCAGTTGTGTTGGAAGCTGTGGGTTTGCCCCTGGCCCTGCCGGGTATTTACATTGCTGAGAGGTTATCCTGAGCTCCGCTGGATCCTGTTACCTGATTTTCTTTTGTTCTGTCTTTCTCCCCCTCTGATGCTTTGGCTGCTTAACTCTTTATGGGTAACATGTAAAGTGAAAATTAAGTGTGTAGTATGAGATGAAAAGTATTAATTTGTAAGTATTAACTGGTAAATTCCTTTTGGATTAGAGAGTCAGCTTTTCTGATCTGTTTAGTTGTATTTATTTTGCTTCAGCCTGGGCAATTTCACCATCACTGTCTGAGCTTTTGAAGGTGCCGCTCTCCACATTTGTGTCTTCCGCTCTACATCAAATTCTCTGTGGCGCTCTTATTTCTTCCGCATTTTACTCTCCTCTTCTTAGTAACTGATTTTTGACTGTTGCTTCGTTTCAGTGGAATGATGTTATTATAAAGACAATTATAAAGTAATCAGCACGGGCATATCAATATTTATTGAAATACTGAAAAAAAAAAAAAAATTCCATTAGCGATGAGAAACTCCTGGCAAGAACTGACATGACAATATGTATTTCACCGATACAGTAAGAGAACTTCAACTTCAACAAGTAACTCACTGCACATTCTAAGAGTTGCATGGATTTAAATCCAAGGCAGCTGCAGAACATCTGTAATACAAATAGTCAGACTTTACAGATTGTCTGTTTACAAACACAGAACAACTATAATAAACCAGCCAAAGCCAAACCCTTTGAATTTTCATCTGCTCTTACTAATATGTCCTGTAATCAATAAGGCAGTCAGAAGTAAATGTCTGGTTACAAAGCAGTTAACAATTAACATGAGGGGTTTTTTTTGGCGAATTTTTTTTTTTTTTTTTTTTTTAGTTCGCGTACTTTGGGCAATCTGGTGGGATTCTCAGAACCACAGATGTGGGCAAATATATGTTAGTTTATCTGAAATTTTCTGTTAAATGGTATGAAAAATTCTTCTTTTCTTCTACAACCTTATTTTAATTCTTTTGTCCTGTATATAGATAATGGTGCTGTGAATACAGTTAGCAACATTTTTTTAAGCTTTTTTCTTTCGTATTCAGTGAGATTCACTGTAGCATTTCAACAGGAAAAAAAAAGAAAATACAGAATGTAAACACTTGAAATGTGCTTTGTTTTTCTTTTAAGAAGGAAGGAATGACTGTTCTTATCTTGTACATGTGGGTATACATATTTCACAGGCACTGTCAATTGCCACCCGCATCTTACTTTCTGTTAATTTAGTTTGTTTGAGGGAGTACGCTGTTATTTAAATAATGCTTGCATGTCTGCTATGTGGGATGACTAAGGGAGCTGTGCTTGGTTTGCTTTTGGTCCGTACGACAGTACGTGTGTTCTGTGATTATAAGACAGGCATCTAGGAGTCACAGCTTTGCTGTGTTTGTGCCCTATGCATGGACAGAATATTAGAGCTGATTAATACAGGCGATTAAAATAGTGTGCTTTGTACTAATGGAGATGTAATAACTGATGTCTTTGGTATACAATGTATGAATGGTTGGAAAAAAATAAAGAGAAATGCACCTTTTCAAGCTCACATGAGGCAGAAAAAGCTATAACTCACTTAATTTACGATAGATTTAAATAAACTACATTTAGGATTATGAAGATTTACAGACATTTAATCAAGTGAATGATTTTCATTTGTAAAGACCCTTGTGTGTCCCTGAACTATGTTCCACTAACTTGAAGACATGCTACAGTAAACACATATATTTGGCTTCTTCATTCTGGCTATATCTTATATAAAGATGAAACCAAAGAACAATAAATTAGCATCATAATTGTCTACAGTGGAAACTATCATATACAATATAAATAAACTATTCAAAAGCCAGCACTCTTAATGAAAAAAATTAAAGGATTAGGATTTTATACAGTTTCTACAAGTGATTGTGCAGCCGATAATCTCAAAAATTAAAGTAAAAATGAAATACCCCTATTGATTTTAGTGTCTCACGACATACAGTAATTAAGTACTGGTAAAATAATTACCAATTTAAAAGAAATAATAAGGAAATCACTGCTCTGCAATTTTATCACAGTTTTTTCCCCACAGGACCTAAATAATGTAAACACTATGCTTTTGTTAATGTTAGAGATTAATACTTTATTTTAAATGTATGTTGATCCACACCTGCACAGTTACCTTTAAGGATAATGAAATAAGGCAAGACTTATAACTGTGGCACTACATGTTAATACTGATATCTTCATTTGGACAGAGAGAGAATTGTTTGTTCTTCTCTAATATTTGTTCTGCAGCAGACTTTGGCCTACATAGACATAGCAGTATCACTCTCCTTTCTTTGCGTAGATGATGTGTATTACCTAACTTTAAAAATAAAAAGTTTCATTAGATATTGGATGTTTGAGTTGAAATTTAGTTTCTCAATTACTGGCAATTTTAAAGATAATTTCTTAATAAACCCCATGGCATCATCAGGTCATACAATTCATTTGTCTATTCTTGCATCACTAAATGCATTTTTTAAATTTTAGTTTTGGTTTTTTAACATCAGTATTTGATGTCCTAGAAAATATTCTTTTTGTGTGTGTGTCAAAGAAGCTGTTGTTTGTGATGGCTAAAATATCTCCATTTCCTTTATTTGGAAATGGCCATGAATATATAGCAGAGCCATATTTTAGCCACTGCACCAGTTAAGTATATAGTTGAATTGGCTAATTTGTTTTGGAATATTTATCTTAGCTATTTAGTAGCTAATAACAGTAGTAGAAGAGGGATACTGCCTGACAGAACAACATGAACACGTGACAAAACAAACTTCAGAACATAGTAAGAATGCCAAGCTAACTGGATAACAGAGTCTTCATATTAGCTATTTGCAGGCCTGAGAGACCGACAGTCAAAACCAGCCTCTTAGGATTTGGTGGCGATACTACATAGCACGTGGCCTACGCCAGCTCTCTCTTACAGATTGTTGAATGGATGCCACATCATTTACCACAGAAGAAGTAAGTGTTGGGTCCTTGGAAGGATGACAGAAGATGCTATAGATGCAGTTTTGCACCTATTATAACTGTTTTAGAAGTCCTGCTATATAGTGAAGGAATTTAGCGCACTCAAATTCCCCACTATCTTAGCTCAATAATACGGATCAGTTTTATTTCTCCTAAGTTTCTTCATATTGGCAATCAGCAGAGTTAAATATACAAGAATCATTCTGTCCTTTTTCATGTTGACATTGGTGATAGTATCCATTTGGTAAGTTCACTTCTCTCCAGTATAAAGTCCTATATAGATTCCTTTGGGGATGTGTAGCATATGATTCACAGTTTGCAATACAAATACCCTGATACATCACTTATTTACTATTAGTATTTGATTATTATACCATTTTGCAAAGTCTTAAAACCACGTTTTAATTAGTGTTGCTTGGAGCAGTTCAGGATACATTTTTTTTTTTCCTTGAAAGCAGAAGCTCTAATGGGTATAATTTATGCTCTCTTTGCATGCAGCATTTCAATGAGAAGGTTATTACACGGCACATCCCCGTTCAGGTGTTTGTAGTAGAGGTATTCTTCGGCCTGCATACTGATGGCCCGGATTTCTGGTAGTCGCAGGAGAAGCTGCCCAAATTTGTCTGTTTGCTGTGGGTAATTACACATTGTGTAGTCCAGCAGAGCAGCATTCACTTGTTCCTGAACACCTTCCACAAGCTGGAAGTTCTCAAGATTTTTGACATCTGAATCATAATAAAAAAAAAGTAACAACAATTCAGTTGCATTTTAATTCCTGTTTACGATGGCAGTGTTTCACTAAATGGATGTATTTTTTTTCCTCCTGACAAAAGCATACTTTACAAGCTGCTGAATATTCAGTGAACCCTTTTGCCAGCTTTCCTGGGAAAATGATCACAAAAGAGCTTTAACGGAGTGTCTTGTTGAAATTCTGCATATACCTCAAATCAATTAGACACCAATGGAATCTGAGCAAGGTCAGCTCTTTCATAGCTTACAAAAAGAAAGGTTGAGGATTCCTAAAGTAGAAGACCATAATATATTGCTAGCAAATGAGTCCCAAGAGGAAGCCCTATCTTTAACCTAGTATGTTACACAATTCATATAGTTCTGTATTAATTTTTCTGACCCAAGGTGAAATCTGTGTCCAGGGTATGATGTAGTTAATTCTAATAAAAAGTGACAAGGTTCTTGTTTCTGTTTGACATTTTCTAAATGATTCTGAAAGCCTTTGACTTGTCTAGCCTATGTTAATGAACCATCTGGTACACTCCAGTGACTGCCAAAATAATCTTCCCTACTAGAAACTCTCTAAAATATATATTTCACCGACTAATGATCTTTATAAAATGAAATCATTGTCCTTTGGGTGGAATACCAGATAAGAATGGTGCCATAGTGCCCTTTAACCTAAATATGGTTTCTGAAATCCAACACTGTTGGGTTTGTGGGGGTTTTTTTGGTTTTTTTTTTTTAATTGGACAACGGGCATTTACATCAGTAAGGCAGGTACGGTTTGTTCACTCTGCCTCTGTTTGATTATCTTCTGTTCCTATACAAGAAGTTCAAGCTCTGGAAGTGCTGGTCAGAGATAAATGCCTGTGTATTAACTCCTCATTATTTGCTCTCCTGTGTAAAAATTACTCTGATGACATTGTCTTTCGACATGTCTGGAGAATGCAGAATTTATTCTAAAGCTTGCAAATTAGAGTGCTGCTATAATGCAGAAACAGTGAAGTGATCAAAGTGCTCTTGCTGGGAGAACCTGTTTTGGTTGGTGTTTGATCATTTATACCATCAGTAGAGTACTGTAACAGTTTCTTGTAATGCTAAAGCAGGGTGATACAGAGCGTAAGTATGCTGCTAATTCACTCTGAATAAAGACAAATCTGCTCTTCTACGGATGTTCTTGGAGCACAGAAATGGGGAATTTGGCAGAATTTGGTTCATTGTAAATGCCAGCCTTTGATTGGAGGCGAAATGAGTGTTTTCCTTTGCAAAACAGGAACACGCATTGGTCCCCCAATCCATCAGCAGCCTGGGAGGCTGTGTAAATTGGGTCTCACTGCACCTTTTCCTAGAAATGCTTTAAATAGACCAAATATTGGCTCCTGCACATAACTGTGTGCTGGAACACGGGGGAAATGTTTTGAGGAGGCAAACATTTTCTTCAGGAAAAGAGGATAGAAAGCATGCCAAGGATCCCAATGGCAGCCCAGGGTAGCAGGCACAGCCTCCAGGGCCCGAGTGACAGGCTGTGAGCAGGAGCCTCTCTGGAGCATGCTGGCTGCCGGCTCACTTCAGGTTCGCTCTTGCATGAGCTGGGGTGAGGGTTTCCTGCTGTGGTCGTTACTGCCTGCCTCTTTCCTGTCCCGGTTTCACTATGGAAGCGAAGCAAGTGGCTCCCAGATTTGTGCTGCTTGTTTGGGAACTGGCGACACGACCTCCATCCGAATTTTGCTACCTGGCTTAAGGAGCTCACTAGCAATACTTAAATTATGATGGCTGGCCAACAGGAATTGTCTGAACTTTGCATTATCCTGAATGAGGAGAACTGGAAACTTCAAAGCTGCTATGCCTGTTCCCTTAGCTATTCAAACTCATTTATCCAAAGTCTTTTTGCAGTGTCTCTGGGGATCTTTGGATAATCATGTTTTCATGTATTACACTGGACATTTTCTCACACAAAATATAGCTGTTTGTTGTTTTACGTACCTACATAAAACTCCCAAGGTATTTTGTAGTGAGTGTAACCTGGTTTAAAAATTGGGTGTTCTAAGCATATTTTTATAACATTAAGAAAGGAACAGTATCAACTATCACAATTATTTTAAATAGGTTGCTTTCAGATGCAAAATGCGATCATGAATGAATTGTTAGAACATAAGAAATTGCCACAGAAAACAGGGACTATGCTGGAGATTAAACTGTGTTAAACAGCAAGATAAAATGTATAATGATTTCAGAATCAGTATTTTGAACTTTTTTTTTCCCTGTTAAAAATAACTTTAAACATCAGGAAGTTTTAGAAACTGTTAGCTGATTCAGCCCCCTTTAAATTCAAAGGGCATCTTTCTGTTGCTGTCTGCCTGTTTTGAATCATACTGTGAGATTAAATTGTGCTGACTTCTTGGAAAACCAGGTTCATTCTAATTTTTGCTCTCTGTCTAAATGTTACTGCATGGAATATATATTTATTGGTAACATCACAAAATCAATTTTTACAAAGATCAAGAAGAAACAAAATCTGAAAATTGCAAATTTTCTGTATTTTCCTGCAAAAGTGGTGAATTCAACATATGTTTTATAGAGATGCATTCTGTCTTCAGCTGTATTGATATCATACTCCAAGTCAAAAAAAGGTGTAATATTTTATCTATATTACCCCCATATACAGGATCGGTGGCTTCTGGCAGTAGGTGTACCTATGCATTGTATAGGTGTTCCTACATGCTCGTCAGCTACATGGCCTGGCTGAATTGCACGGAAGTTGCAGAACTACGGGGGAAGGTGGTCTGTGTTGGTTTTTTCCCTCATCTTAGTGGACAGTTCTTTAAATACTCATATGTGACAACATAAGCACTGAAGTCAGATGTAAAAACAAGGCCAGTTAACACTAACAGTAAACAAAAAGTAGTTCTGGGGCTTCTATACCACATCCAGCTTGAGGAAATACTGTTAATGTATTTCCTCTGCACAAATTCTTGATATTTGTGGTGAGGTTCAGTGCTTGTAAACAAGATGTTATTAGTTAACCAGTGAAAACATGTAGAATTTTCCTGACTGTTTCTGTACTGAATCAGATACTCATAGTCCAAGTGATTAGAGTTTAGGACGTCACTACACAATTCACCTGTGTGTAGATGTCCCAGGACTGCAATCATAATAGTGGGAATGTAGAGGGAACCTGATGACCAGTTATGTATTTTGGAGTGAGTCTTCATGAAGTAACCAAGATTTTTGGATATGACTTGATAAGTGCTCTCACCTCATGTACATTAACAATAAATGCTGCAGGAAAGCAAATGAGACAAATTGAAGAGAGAGAGAGAAATCAAAGGATATGTGCTGAGAGCACTGTGTAAAGCTCCATTTTCATGTCTCAAGCTCTCGTATGATATTTTGTGTATTGTAAAAAAGAGAGGTTTGCTGAACACATAGTTGCAATATTGCAATATAAATTACATAGTTATTTTTGAGAGAGAATCACAAACTCTAACTCTAATAAAGATGAATAACAACAAAGGAAAAGATGTGAATTTTAAGTTATCTCCAGTAGCAACAAGATCTGCAGGTAGAACAAGAAAAGCTATATACAGTTTTCACTTCTGGTACTTAGTATTTAGCTGATAGTGATACAAATGTTATTAAATAATAACTTTGGTTTGTAAGTAGATGGTTTTCCTGTGCTTTGGGTTTGGTTTTGTTCTTAGTATTTATTATATAACTTTGGCTAAAGGTACGTGATTTAGTTTTCCAAGTATTTCCTTTTTGATAAAGATCCTTTGAATGCTAATGGGTTAACCTGGTGAAACATCAAGCAATGCAGGTGTAAGTCTGCTGAAGGCAGTGGTGTACAATGAGCGTGAAATCTGCTACTGATATGTACAGCACAACAGCCTTCTACGCTTTCTTATAATTCTTCATTGCTGTCTGCTTTTCAGGATTGGAATGCCTCTTATCAATCTTTACATCGGTTAGTAACAATTTAAAGTACACATGTTTAAGCTTAATGCAAGAAATCATTTTCCAAGGTTTAGACGCTTGTAAATTAAATGAGTAGGAATAGGTCCCCCCCCTCCCACCCACACACCCTTTAAATCCTAGCAGCTAGAAGAAGTGGTTTGTGTTGCTACAGTAAGTATCAGTCTCTTATCTCTTCTACTTTATTCACTAAGGGACTAATTACCAACTTTTTACATGAAACAGCCTTACTGTGAGCTCACAGTGGGGCGCACATCTTTTTCTATCCTTATTGGAAAGTAAACCCTTAGGTCTTCTGGAATATATTATATGTTTTACAAGAAATAGCAATTGCTTTTCTGTCAAACAAAGAATTTTTGTTGTCTATAGCTTACTTTTGACGATTAAGACAAAAACAGTTTTATAGTGTGTCAGGATCTGCTCTGCAGTCACAGTAAAGGTCTGCCAGTATTCCCAGAAATTTCCCCATTTTGATTATTTTCTACATCTGCTATAAAGCTGTGCATTAAGCTGAAACTGCATACAACATTCAGCCTGAGGAGAACACTTTTGCATATTTTTCCCAAAAATGGGTCTGGTCTTTAGAGGGGGAAAATATTTAGGTTTCAGAGAGATTTTCTCCCTCTCATATTCCAAACATGAAATACCAAAGATTTGGTGGTCTGCTAATCTGTAGAGAGCTTCCCTTGGTTTGGGAATTTTGAAAAGAAAAATGAAACAGAATGAGAGATTTAAATTTGAAAAATAGCAACTCCTTAGGAGCAGCGTAAATATTTCCCAAAGAAAGCCAGTTAAATTTTACTGCTTGTGTCTTTTATCAGATACTCTTTCTACATGAAGCGATGAAGAGATGCATGCACGCGCAGCTCGGCTGCCTCTCTGCATTTTGCACCATTGCAAGTCCTGGTATTGCAAGGATGCAATAAGGTTGTGTTTCTCCATGGGCAGAAATTTCTCACTTCTATAAGGCTGGAGACAGATACTTCAGGCAACAGGACTTGATAGCTGCCCAGGGTTGAGC